GATTCCACCTCACTCCAGAAAGAATGGCTGCTATCATGAAATCAACCAATAACAAATGCTGGTGGGGCTGTGGGGAAAGAGGAATCCTGCTCCACAGCTGGTAGGAGTGTAGACTGGTGCAACCACTGTGAAAATATGTCTGGAGATACCTCAAAAAACTAGGATTAGAGGTCCCACTACACCCAACATTTCTCCTGCTGGGTATTTTCCCAAAAGAATTAAAAGCATCACACCACAGCGATATGTTTGCACCCATGTTTATAGCAGCACAGTTATTAATAGCTAAAACATGGAAACAGCCCAATTGCCCATTAGCTAGTGATTGGATAGAGATGTGTTTTTTAAAAAATAAAGTGGAGTACTACTCAGCCACAAAGAATGAGAAACTTGAGACATTTATAGCTAAATGAATGCACATTGTGGCCATACTCTTAAGTGAAATAAAAGGACATGCATGTGTCAATACTAAATAGTTTCTCTGGTGTGAGAAACTGAAAGTGTAAATGAGGACCAAAATGTATAACAGACAATGTGTAATAGTAAGAAAAGGTCCAAAGGGGAAGCAGAAGGGGAAGTGGGGCAGGGGTAGGGGAAAGGAAAGAAGGGAAAGGAAAAAATATGATAAAACAAAAATATAGAAATGATGTCTTTCTAAATTGGGTGGGGTGGAGGGGTTGAAGAGAAGGTAAGGGAATGGGAAAAATAAGAACCAAATATATCTTGTAAAAGTACAAATTCCCAATGATGAATGTTACCATTTTATGTACCTAAACTGTAACAATGAACCTAATAAATTAAGAAAAAGGCAAGTCTGGAGGACATTGTCCTTAAGAAGCTAACAACCAGGCAAGATCCAGGCAAAGTAGACAGAAAGAACTATTTACTAATAATTTTATGAAGGTGTTGCAGTTGAATAATTACATTATGTCTCCCCGAATTTATGCTGCTTTCTACATTCCAAAATACTTGAAGAGACTAATTGTTTTAACTTGGTTTATACATCTACTCCTGAAGGAGTAGGAGCAATACCATTATTACACTGAAACAATTTAATATTATGGTGCTACCTGGGCATGTCTAGCAGACTGGGAGTTTGAGGCAGAAGCATTGCTAGCTGGAGCCCATCCTGGACAATTAGCAATTTAACTGAACCCTATGTCAAAAAAAGTGGTAGATTCAATTCTCAGTGTCATTAAATAAAGAAGAAATAACTAAACAAACAAAACAAAACACTGTGTGGGTGGAAGGGGTGGGATAAAAGAAATAAGTTTCCTGCGTTCAAAGGGGGAAGGGGCCACAGTGTGTAATGTCACTCGGCCTTATTTATTATGTACCTCTATAAATGGACATAGCTAAAATTCTCAAACAAATTAAAAAATGCAGAGAATGCAGATTACCCAGAACAAGGGGCAGGGCTCATCGCTTTACTACTGTAGCTTAGTGCTTTGTCAGTAGAACACTAACCTAGATGAATAGTAACCCGAGTAACCTGGTAACTAGAGTGTAGAACCCTTGAACCTGGATATGTTCCTAGAGATAATAAAGCAGAGCAATTAGGAAGTTTCTCAAAAGAGAGGAGAGCTTCTGTGATGTCCAGAATCCAGGAGTATATGTCAGAGCTTCTGGGCAGAATGTCCCACTTTTGAATGTCCTATGATGCAAAGAATCTGCTCTGATTCATCTTAGTGTGTTGTGTTGCCAGCACTCATGTTGGAAGCTCTGTGGCTGCTTTCTGTGCATATGTTCTTTAGTGGCAAGGACAGAGGTTATCCCAGAGGACCCCAGAAAGGCAGAGCAGAGCCCAGTTCCAGTTACTGAGACTCTGAAGTGTAACTTTAGCTTGGTTAAATTCCCAGTGGAGAATATGGCATAAGAAAAAGGGTTATGGTTGTATAACAATGATTATCTTTGGTTTCAAAACATTTACTTACAAAATGAGCTTCAGTGGCATGTAATCACTGTGAAATTATATAGTGTAACTTTCCAATAAAGCAGTATATGATCATCAAAGCAAAGAAAGGAGTGAAGTCAGTTCAGTTTAGATTTGTGAGCCATACTGGTAGGAAAAGACTGGATTCTAGTAGTAGCTTATCTTCTGCTGACTCCAAGTTGAGTGTTAAATCATGAAATTTCCATGTGTCCCAGTTTCTTTAGCTATAAAGTCAACACAATAATATGAATATCTAGCTCAGAAGACCTTTTCAGGAAGACTAAAAAAGTCTTTTCTTTGTAATTTTTAAAATAACAGGTTGCTATTAAAAGGCATAATAATATTTAGGAATTATTCCTGTCCTGCAAACTATGTTATAGTCTCACTGATACGTCAATGAGATTTTATATTATACTGCTTTATAATTGGCACTTACTATATGTTGTCTTTGGTATTTGACATAAAAATATGCCTTGTTATAGTATTTAAATTAAATATAATAACAGCAGTAACAACTATTTGCAGGTTTTATTATTCCGTGTCAGACTCTAGGATGAACATTTTACTTGTATTATCTTGTTTATTCCCAAAAGCAATTGTGAATCAATATGTTGAGGATATATTATAATCTTCAGTTTTAGAGATGGGAAAACTGGGGCTTAGAGAGTTTGTAAAAATTGGTCCTCAAGTTTATAGGTACCAGATGCAGAATTCAAATCCGCCTTGGTTCTATCCCAGGGCCTATTCTCTGTGGCCAAGAATGCTGTATCCCAAGACTCCTATGCTGCAATTCTAATTCCCAGAGCCTCAGAATGTAAAGTGAGGTCATAGTGGTGATTCTGAATCTAATGACTGGTGTTCTCATGAGAAGAGATCAGCACACAGACACATGCAGAGTACAGATCGTGTGAAGATGAAAAAGGCAGCCGTCTTCATACTGAGGGAAGTTTCAAAAGAAACGAATTGTACTGACATCTTGATCTTGAAATTTTGCCCTCCAAAACTGTAAGAAAATTAATTTCCATTGTTTAAACCAACCAATCTGTGGCATTTGTTATGGTAACCCTAGAAAACTAATACAACCACCAGTATATCTTTTTAATCACATCAGAGAGGAAAGATATCCTCTCTGGAAATAATTAGTTGATCTGGGAAAATCACCAAGTCAAATACAAAGAATTCTGCTCTTTTCCCTCTCTCCCCGATGTCCTCTATCTAGAGAACCTTCTCATATTTCCTGTGGTAGATTACCTTATTGTTCATCAAATATTCACTCCCCTGATCTCCATGGATAGAGATGGCTCATCACTCCACTGTTGTTTACTTGTTCACATGACCTACTTTAGTCACTGAGATGCTGGCATGTTGTATGTGGCATGTGGCACGTGGAAGGTAAACAGAAATGTGTTTGAACACTAGCTTTGCTTTTCTTGCCCTTGAAACACATGTTGAGATAAACTGAGCATATCCTCCTGCTTGAATTAGTTCAGCCTGGCTCAGCCAACATGCAGCTGACTCTTAGACTTGCAAGATAAAGTTTTACTGTTCAAAACTACTGACATTTGAGATGGTTTTTTTGTGTCCTGTGTGTGTGTGTATTTATATATTTATTTGTAATATTTATGTATTTATATATATATTTATTGTGGTGACAGTTGATGCATGTTTTGACATTTTATTCCGTGATATCTATAAGCATGTTTTATATCTGGGTCAGTATACGCAATCCAAATCTTCCTCAGGATATCTTGTTTGATTTGAGAAAAACCCTCATAACAAGTATTTCCTGTGTCCTGGAGCAAAATTTTAGAGATTCATCCAGTTATGCTTAATGGTTTATTGCACTTCTGGAATCTCTAAAGGGAAGCTTGGGCAAAAGCTGCTTCCAAAGAATCAAGTCAGTGAATGTCATTGTTATTAATTATTAAGGAGCTTAAACAAAATGCAACTTATCAAAGAAAAAGGCACTGAGGAGAGAAGAATATACAAATATAGTGGAAAACCCAGGATAGGGTAATGAGCAATGCCAAATACAAACTTCATGTTCTTTATTCTTTTGGGGAACAACCAAATAACCATCAAAAACAGGATGGATTAATAACTTGTAATCTATTTATATAATAAGATACTTTATAACACTTGTTATGAGTTGAATTGTGTTTCCTACTGAACTCATATATCCTAATGCCCTACTGGAGAAAGTGTCTTGATTTGAAATAAGGCCACTGGAAATGCAGTCAACTTAGTCACAAGGATTTAATAATAGAATGAAGGCCAGCCACTAATACAAAATGACTGATAACCTCATACAAAGAACTGCATGTGAGAAAAGAGATGCACACAGGGATTACACCTCCATGTGATAGTTACTTGGGCATGAAGGCAAAGAACAGGTGATACATAGATGAACCCAATAGGAGGATATGCACACAATCCACCAGAAGCTAGGACAGAGTCACAGAACAAGTTCACCCCAGGAATCAATTTCACCACAGCTTTGCTCTTTGATATCTGGCTTCTAGCATTGTGAAAAATAATTTTTTTGTTTAAGCCACCAACTTTAGGGTACTTTGTGATAGAAGCCTTAGGAAACAAATACTGGAATAGAGGAAACAGAGCCCTACCACCTGCACGTCATGGATGGTTCTTCTGATGAATCTGCATAGGTAAAGTTAGATATTAATTACATACCATAAAAGTCCATTTATATAAATTTCACATACAAAAAATTAACTTATAGTAGTTTAAGGAACCTAGAATTCTGTCATAGTGTGTTTCTTAACTGTATTGTGGCTGCATAGGTGGGTGTATTCACTTTGAAATAGCTTACTGAAACTATTCTGAATTCTTATGATATGTGTATTTGTTTATTTTATGCTGCACACCAATACAAATATTTGAAAGCAGCCCAAGCGCCCATCAACTGGAGACTGGATAAAGAAAATATGTTTTTTTATAAAATGGAGTGCTACTCAGCCATAAAAAATGAGAAATTAGAGACATTTATAGCTAAATGGATGCACATTGATGTGATACTCTTAAGTGAAATACATAGGACACACATGTGTAAATACCGAATAGTTTCTCTAGTGTGAGAAACTGAAAGTGTAAATAAGGACTAAAAGGTAAAATAGATAATGTGAAA